AAAAGTTATTCTTAAAAGTTAATTGTTACATGTGTTGGAGACTGTTATTGTCATTGTTATAGACATAGAATTTTCCATTCTACTGATAAATATTCAATATAAAGATAAGATCTTAGTCAAACAATAACAGTCAACAGGGGCCACACCAAGCGGGCCCCCTCTTCCTACATTACGCCACTGGCCCCCCTCCCTGCCTCCCATTATTAATAACCGGTGGTCCCTAATCATCTATTATATACATTTCATACAATTTCATATTATTTAATTAATATATACATCACACTATAAACAGAAAGTCAGAAACAAGTGCTAATACTAAATGGTAGAAATACACAATAATGGAAAAAGGCTTTCAGTCAATTATCTGCCAGTATGATATTCGCATGCCTAGTATATGATGTTAAGATGTATCATCTTAGGCCCTGTTCATATCAGCCAGGCTAGCCTGCCTTGCCAGAATAGAAATTGTTATCATATGAGTCAGGATATTGGCAAACCAAGACATTGAAGATAAGCCTGGCTAACTAGGCCAGCTCGAGTCATTTAATGTCCATTTCATGTACTATATATGCATAATCACTGCATAATCTGCAATAGCACAACTTATTTCAACTTTTCATATTTTCATGCACTTAATAATATTAACAACAAACAACATGTTAAAAACAGTTGACTAGGATGTCAAAGGTTAGGTGGATGCATTCTTTGGAGGGAACAAACCCAATAATTATTAAACCAACAATTTGTAACAATTATTTTATTAATTGACAACAATTATTTTATTATTAAATATTGATTATTTTAACAATTATTTTATTAATTTAATAACAATTATTTTATTAAAATATTGGTTATAATTATTATTATTATTATTTTTTTTTATTATTATTTTTTATTAATATTATCTAACGCCAGACAATTAATTACTCATCAGTGGTAGAGTACTGCCAGTAAATGGGTTAAAATGTTAAATATGAATTAAGTTGAAATCGGTTGTAATAACCAAGTGATTCATTAACCTATTAAGTTGCAAGACTCTCCTTGATGAGCAAAATCATCTAGCGTTAGAAAGAGTAAAAATTCATTGTGTTATCTGCTGCTGTTGGAAGATCCTTTTCCTTCAACATTTTACTAAAGATTTACTGTGTCATCTGCTGCTGTTGGAATTAAGTTCCTTTTCCTTGAACATTTTACTAAAGATTTGCTGTGTCATCTGCTGCTGTTGGAAATTCCTTTTCCTTGAACATTTTACTAAAAAATTACTGTGTTATTGTACATAATTTCTAGGGAAAATATAAGAAAAATTCAAATGTTGTATTTCCAAAAATATGCACTCAGACTTTGAAATTTTAAATTTGTGGACCAAGGAGGAGGGACAACCAAGGCATACAAAAATTAGATGTACTGGGCAACAACATTTTCTGGGGGGGGGGGAGTCCCCCGGCTCTGGCTAGGTTACTGTACAGTATTCTCTAAAGCAATAAAATATTATTAATATTTCTAACTAATAATTATTACTAATTATTAGTAAATATTTATTATTTATGTTGCTCGAATTAGTCAATTAGCCAAGCCAGACTACAAGATTCAAATGCTAATGGGCCAATTGCACAAGGCAGATTAAAAGAGTGACTAACAGACTAAACAGTGATGGTGCGACCATAGTTGGGTTTCAATCTGAATCCTGTGACACTTTTATAAAATTTGGTGGTCAACTCCAAAAGGAAACACATTGAGTTCATTATTCATAAAATTATATTAATTCACCTTGTATTCAATAGCAAGTACAGAACATTTAACAAAATTTGCTCGCTTCAACAAGGCATATAAGCGACAAACGTGCAAAGTTATGGCTATGCCACATGTGGGCTAATACAGGGTGTATCAAAAAAAGCGCAATCCTCGACTGAAATGTAAATTGCTAAACAAATAATAGACGAAAACGTTAAAGTTTACATTCATTTTAAAGCGTAGCCATTCAGCTTTCTAACAGTGGGTTGTTTCTTAAATTTGACTCTCATTGGTTCGCGGGTAATAATACTTTACGTTATTGCGATTGGAGATTAAAAAAAATGAGATGGAATAACAAATCGTTCTCATGAAAATAACTGATTTTTTCATTAAAACAAAAAATGTTGCATTTTATTAAATGGATTGTAACAATAAGTATAATTACGGCTTTTCTTCCACTATTTTTAACTCAGTTTGAAACTTCAAATGCGATATAATTTTGGCTTGGACCATCTAAGCTGACTGACATCAACTTGCTACAATTTCTGTTTACATTATGCACCTATCAATGTTAACCCCGAGGGGGCGGGGGGCGGGCAAAGGGTGGGGATTTGATCAATCAGGTGGTCCCATGGGTCGGGATTTGGACTGACACTTTTTTCTAAGTGGCCCGAGGGTGGGGATTTTTGACAGATTAACACTGATCTCAGACGATATACTGAAGAAACCTGAGCCAATTTTAGAACAAACTCTGACTCGTC